GATGGCACTCTGATGGCCAGGTGGTAGAGTGAGCATTTGAGCTGGTGGGTCACAGGGAGCCCCAGTTATGCTTGAGCAAGAGGCCTGGTCTGAATAAAACAAAACTTTGAGAAGGGAAGAAAACTGTCTTTACTAAGAATCAGTATGGGCCAGAAAGTAGGTTAGGCATTTTCACATCATTTTATTTGAGCCTCACAACAACTCCACTGGGGGTTAGTATGAATGCCCCTACTTTACAGATGAGGAAACCGAGGCCCAGAGAAACTGAGCCATCGACTTGAGCCAAGGGTGAAGCTCCAAGTTTGATTTAGATCAGCCTGACCCCAAATCTGTGCTCTTTCCACTTCACCATGTGGTTTTCCGTTGTCTTTACTCAGAACATCCCGTGTGCTGTGGGTTTCCCCGTGAGGTGTGGCTGCCTTGCCAGGGGCTTGAGAGTCTTTTTTGCAAAACCCCAGGGGTCACACACAGGGCAGAAAGGGCTCAGTATCCCTGGGACTTTGGGGAACCCCCAGCACAGGGTAGGGTAAGTACTCGGGTTCTGGCCTTCATAGAAATGGGTTCAGATCCTAGCTTTGCCTGAGGCAGGGCAGCAGGATGAGCCCTGGATTCGGAGCCAGCCTTGGCATAGCTTCGAACCCCAGCTGGAAGTGACAAATACCTGAGGAGGTGAAATGATAAGATACCCGTGTTCACCTCAGAATAAAGGGTTGGGGGGTGGGGATGGGGGAGGGAAACAAGATTGGCCACGAGTTCCTAACTGAGGCTGGGTGATGGGTTTCCGGGGTCTTTCATACCATTCTTTCTACCTATCTGTATGTTTGCAAATCCATAATAAAAAGTAAAATAATAATAATAACCATAGTTAAAACACTGAGAACTTAAAAAAAAAAAAAACCCCAAAACCCCCCAGACAACAACTATGTCCACCACACTGTCTCCTGGCTGAATCAGAATCTCTGGTTCCCAGCAACGGTCATGCTTTAACACCCCTAATGAGAGCAGGTCAGCCCCAGCTTTGTAGTCTCTCTGAGGAGGGCCAGGCCTCGAGCCTTAGTGGGGGAGGAACCCTAAGCCAGTATGTGCAGAAGGGGCCCTCGGATGGTCCCCCAAGGACAAGTCTCCCCTTCTGGGCAACTTTTACATGTTTTCCAAAGCACAGGGAGTTCAACCAGAGGGGCTTTCTCATCTGCCTTTCGGGACTGCTTACATACCACCGGGCACAAAGACCCCAGGGTCACCGTGTCACCCCCCAAGGCATAGACGAGGTCAGGAGTTGAATGGAGGGAGTCTGGCGCTGTCTCTGCAGGTCTTGCCACAGTCTTCCGGGACTCAGTTTCCCCATCTGTCAGGGCGGAGAAAGGGATGGACAGCCCATGGCAAGGGCTAGGCCCTAGGGGACCTCTTCCGCTTGACAGACAGGTGCCCCGTCGGAGCCTCGAGGGTGGCGGTGGGAGCCTGTGGTTGGGGAGCAGCCCCTGACATCTGGGCCAACCCCTGCGGGAGAGAGCGCCAGAGCGAGAGGAGCCCAGCGGCAGCCGCCAGAGCAGGTGGGGAGGCGCAGGGGACACGGTTCCCAGCCGGAGGGGGGCGAGGAGCGGCCGAGACGCGACCCCAGACGCCGCCCCGCCTGGGATCGCCTGGGCGCGGGGCGGCGGGATGGGCCCCCAGGCGGCGGCCGGCGCTGGGCCGGGTTCCCGTTCTCCTCCGCGGCCTGCTGGGCTCCGCAGCGCCGCCTGGCGGACACGCCGCTCTTAGCTGCGGCCTGCGCGGCGGCCGGCGGGGCTCGGGGACCCCGCGGCGACCCGGAGAGCGCGGGAGGGAGCCGCGAGCGCGCCGCGGGCCTGGGCGTGCGTTCCCCGGGGCGCACTCGCACCCGGGCCGGCGTGCGCAGCTCAGGCGGGCACCCCCTGCGCCGGCCCGGCGCCCGCGCGCCTCAGGTCCCTCCGCCACGTCGGGGGGCGCTCCTGCCTGCGGCCCCGCGCCCCCGCCCCGGCGTTGCGCTGCCTCTGCTCAGCTTCTCCGGGACCGAGGTCCCATTAAAATCGCTGGGAGTTTTGGGTTGGATTTTTTTTGTTAATAACATACCCAGGGTGGGCGTGAAGGCACGACCTTGTCCAGTTGCCCTCCCTGCGCGTCTCAGACCTGAAATCCCAGGGCGGGGTAATTGCTCGGTCCTTCGCCGCCCATGCGGGTCCCGGCGGGCGAGGCGTGGTGGCGCAAGGACCCCTGTCCCAAGGCACGAGGCTCACGGGGAGCAGCGTGAGGCCCGGAGGGGCCAGGGGCGCGGGGCTAGCGCTGGGGAGAGGAGGAGCAGGGGCCTGGCTCTCACGTCCGCGCCGCGGGCCCCGCAGCAGCGGGGACTGGGGGCGCACCCCCTCCTGGCACGCGCGCCTCTCCCGCTCGCCGGGGTGCCCGGGGCCGGGGGTCTGTCCCGGAGCCCCGGGATGACTCGGGCTCCCCCTCCGCCCCCGCCCCCGCCATCGGCCCGGGTTCTCGAGGCGCCAGGCCCAGCCCAGCCCCGCTTCCCTCGGCCGCAGCGGAGGGACACGGCCCGGGGGTCCCCCTCCGGCGCCAGCTCGGGTCCCCGCAGTCGGGGCGCGCGGGCGGGCGCGTGGGGGGCGACGGGGCCGGGGTGTCCACCAAGTTGTCTCCCGGGGGTGGGGGCCGGAGAGCGCCCGCGGCGTCCCGCGGGTCACCGGGGTGGCTGTGCGTGCCACCCGGGAAGAGGACCGCGGCCGTGAGGCTGACGCTGGGAGGAGAGCGGGAAAGTCTCCGGGCCGCCAGCCCCCGAGCCCCGGGCGGCGGGAACGGCGCGGCGGGCCGACCGAGGCCCGGGCTGGGGGCGGCCTGTGCGCGGCGGAGAGCCTCCCGAGGCGGCAGGGGGAGCTTGACGCCGAGGGAACGCAGAGCGGCCTGACCCCAGGGAGAGGGGGTCGGGGTGCGCGCACCCGCCGCGCCTCCGCGGTCCCGGGATCCCAGCAAAGGGGCGCACCGGGCCCAGAGCTCCCGCGGCCCGGGAGGGCGAGCGCCCCAACAGCCAGGAGACCCGAGCTCGCGCGCAGGGCTGAGCAGCAGCGTCTGCGGGGCGGGGGGCGGGAGGCGGGTGCACCGGGCCTCGGCCCCTTCCTACACCCTCAAAAAATATAGATTAGGGCTCTTCTCTGCGCGGTTGCCTCGGAGCTACGTGCAGCTCGGTCCCGCCGCTCCAGCTGGGGAGGAGGGTCCCGCCGCGCCTTCTCCGGTCCCAGCCGGCAGCCCCGGGACAGGCCCTCGGCGCCCCCTGGATGCCCCGGAGAGACCGAGGATGGGCTCGGGGCCCCTCGGGGCCGAGTGTGAAGGGGCTTCCAGGTCTCAGGCCCCGGCGCGCTCTGCTGCGGCGCACACTGGGGTGCAGCCGGGGCTGCAGGGCCATCTGGACGCGGAAAAGCAGCCCCGGCGCCGGCGGGCGTGGGGTGTCGAGGGGTGGGCCCCGGCGGCCAGAGGGAGAAAAGGAGAGCGAACTCACTGTCCCCACCCCGGGGGGCTAGAAGGTTCCGGCGCACTCCTCCCAGGCCTGGGAAACAGGTTCCCGAGGGCTCACCGTGCCCCGACCTCTCCCGGCTGCGCACCTGGGACGGGGCCTGTTCGGAAAGACGGGGCCCAGGGGCAGTGGCACCTCCGGGGCGCTGAGGCCTCGGGGACAGTCTGGGACCGCGCCGCTCTCTGTACAAAGCAAAAGCCAAATTCTCAAAAATCTCAAGAGGGAAAGAATGATTTTTTAAGAATCATTTTTTCCTTTCACTTTTAACAAACCGTGTGCCGGGAGAAAAATTAAAAACTAAATGAGTGATGGCTCAGGACACTATCCACAAATTTGTGAAATCCCCTGTTTAAAAATATTTTCCCGAAGGCCAGCCCCACGACTGGCCAGTCCTTTGCCTCTTCCCGAAAATCACAACAAAAACAATAGGAAATGCAGCCACGGTCCTGGGAAGTAGGAGTAGCCGTGAGGCCCAGGGAACCCACTGCGGCCGAAACTGCCACGCTCTTCCTTTCTCTTTTACCAAAAAAATAAAAAAGATAATAATAAGAAGTAAAACCTTTTAATACATCAAATATACGGAATTTTAATCTTTAAAGCGATACATTGTCTATTATTTTAGTACATGACGTAAACCTTACTTGTCCCCTTCTCAGCGGGTGGACTTAAAAATTAAAAATAGTTGTGTTCCTTTTAAAGAACAAAATAAGGCAAATGAGGTTTTGGAATAGAATTGTTTTTCCTTTTTTTTTTCTGTTTTCTTCCAGAATACATACAAAAAAATACCCATTCTCTTTCGATGGTATACACCTTAAAAATAATTGCAATTTGAAATCAGAGCTGACAAATTGTGACTTGTTTTGTTTGTTTTTTCTTTTTTTGTAACAAACATGCATGTAAATTTGTGTTTCAATCAGACATTAAATAAGAACGTACAATACAATAATAGCAATTTTAAAGTAACATTAAAGAGAAGACCTCTAGTTCTGTGGCGGTTTTGTATTTATTTATAATCTACAAGGGACGGGAGGGTTTGTTTTCCACACTTTTACCCTCGAGATTTAATTTTTTTAACCCCTCCTCTTTTTTTTCTTTTTTCTTTTTTTTTTTTTTTTAACCTACGGAGCTCAACCTAAATAATGCACTTTTGAACCACGGGTCCGCTTGGAGCTAACATAAATAAATACCAGTGTCCACCGATGCAGTCCTCAGATGAACACTTTCTCAATTAATTTTTTCCTTCTTTTTCTATAAAAAGTCAAATGATATTTTTTTCCAACTTTTATAAAGTTTGGGTGGGTGGGGAGGTGAGAGGGTGGGGGTGGAAAGAGGAGTTTCCCACCGGGTCTCGGTCGCTGTTTCGGGTAGATAGATACGGTATATATATATTTTTTCCCTCTCCTGGCCCGGGGCATCCCCACGCGCGGGTGACAGTAGCCTCTGCCCTGTTCCCACCCCCCCTCGGCTCCTCCCTCCCCCCTGCCGCTTCCTCTCCCTCGCTGACCCTCCCCACCGCCCTCACTGATACCCCAGTGCCGAGGCCGTGGTCAGTCTCTGTCCGTAGAGGGCGTAGGGGGAGTAGTAGGGTCCGGTGGCGGCGGGCACGGGCACGGGCGCGCCGGGCGTGGGGAGCGGGCTCTTGGAGTAGGGGTGGTAGCGGCTGCTGAGTCCCAGCGCGTGGTGGGGGCTGCGCAGCGCCAGCGTCCCGGGGCTGCCCGGAGCGCCCGACGTGGGGATGTGCATGTGGCACGCCATGGCAGCCGCGGCGGCGCTGGCCAGGGACGAAGAGCTGGGGTAGCCCGACAGCAGTTTGTCCGTCCCGGGGAAGGCCGTATGGGTCCGCAAGTGGCTCAGCAGCTCTTCGGACGTGGCGAAGCGCTTGTCGCAGGGCCCGTTGGCCGACACCCAGTTGCAGATGTGCGGGAGCGGGTCGTTCGGGAGCATGAAGCCGTAGGGGTAGAGGGGGTGGCCGGCCAGGGAGGGCGGCGTGGCGCCGGCGGCGGCGGCGGCCGTTAGCGACGAGTGCACGCCGTGCAGCGGGTGCGTGGGGTACACCAGCGGGTATCCGGACTTGAGCGCCGCGGCCGCCGCGGCCGGATCGTGAGCGCACGACGCGCTGGCCGCCGCCGCCCCTGCCAGGTGGCTGGCGCAGTGGTAGCTGAGGCAGTACGGGTCCCGGCACAAACTAGCTGTCATCACGGACGGCGGCGACGCCCCGGCCAGGGGGCTGGAGCCGGCCGGCTTGCTGCAGCCCAGGGAGCCCGCCGCGGCCGCCGCCAGCTGCGCCCCCACCAGGCTGCCGGGCTTGGTGGGGTCGAGAGCCACGCCGTGCGGCAGGAACTGCGGCGGGTAGCCCGCGTAGGCCCCGGCCAGGCTGCCCGGATAGGTCATGCCCGCGGGGGGCAGAGGGAACACTGTCTGGCCCGGCTTGTAGGGCGACACGGGGGCCACCAGCCCGGAGCCCAGCACCGAGGAGGAGGCGGGCGCGCTGGGGCCGGAGCCGGAGCTGGAGCCCGAGGAGCCGCCGCAGTCCGAGCCTAGAGCCTTGCCCCCGGGCCCCCCATCTGGGTGCTGGTTCACGTCCACATTAATCCCTCCGCCGCAGCTGATCCGGCCGTGCGCCAGCCCCGCGGGTGCCCCTTCGGCCGAGGCGCCCCCGGAGCCCTTGCTGGCGCCGCCGCCGCCGCCCACGTCGGGGTCCTTCTTGTCGTCCTTGCCCTCCGGGCCGCCCCCGGCCGAAGGCAGCATGCCTCCCGGCGAGCAGGCCGACGCGCTGGAGCTGGGGCTGCCTGTCCTGGGCGTGAACGGCTGGCAGGTGGCGCTCGGTACCCGGAATCCGGACTTCTCGGCCGAAACCCCCCCGCCGCCGCCCCCGCCGCCGCCGCCGCCGCCGCCGCCGCCTCCCGGCTCCTTCTTATCCGAGCCGGGCTTGGAGTACGGCTTGAAACTCGACTTGTCCTCCACGCCGATGTCGCTCAGCTTGAGGGGGCCCGACTTTGCGTCCTTGTCGCCCCCGGTGCCGCTGCCGGCACCGCCCGCGCCGCCCCCGTTGGAGGCGACAGAGGAGAGTTTGGAAGAGGGCGAGGGGTCGGGCTTCCCGATCTGTGAGCATGTTTGCGCCAACAGCGCCAGCGGGCTCTTCTTGGCATCAAGCTGCGGGTCAGACGTGGGGTTGGGGGGGTGGCACAAAGAGAAAGAAGGGGAAACCCTTTAGAATCCTGGCTTCTGGGGTTCAAACGCCCTTCCGCAACCGCCAGTGTGGATCCTCCCAGCTCTCAGCGCAATCCTAGGCAGCACCACTTCACCCTCCTCGCCAAACGGACAGACAGACCGACACGTACAGACATTCGCCCTTGAGAAAGGCGGCAGTCCGCCCCCCGCCCCCGCCCTGCCCAGCGCCCCGGCCAAATCAGGATATTTCCTGCCCTTTCTAAGAGCTAACCGTATTTTTTTGGTAAATACTCAGTAAATGTTTTGGTTTCTGGCTCCTAGACCCAGGACTATACCTTGCGCCCCCCCCGCCCCCCACATACACACACGCACATCCCCAATTATCCAGAGTAAGGGCTTGGGCAGTTGGCGCCTTAGAGGCTGTGTGCAAATACCAGCTTCTGGGGAACCTTAAGATTGCGACTTTGGAACCGCATTTCGACTTCCGCCCGTCTTCCGGGGCCCAAAGTGAGGGGGCCTGGGTCGGGGTTGGGGCTTTAATACCAGAGAGAGAAATAAGTTTTGGCTGCTTTGTCCCCTAGCAATCACACCCCATCTACCTCCTCCCCCTCTTTCCGCCCTAGTTTTACGGGTTCGGGAGCACTGTGCTCTCCCCCATCCCAGAGCTGAATCACTCTGACCTCCCGCCCCCCCAGCCCCCACCCCCCCACACACTCCCACCCCACCCCCAGATCCCGAGAGCAAGAAATCCCACGGAGCGGCAGCGGGTGGGGGGGGGGTCCCCGCGCGAGCCGGGGACAGTCCTTACCTCGATGGGGCTGACGGGAGTGGAAGGCAGGGGCTGCAGGTACTCGGGGTGCAAAATGTGGCCAGTCCGTGCCGTCAGCATCTTCAGCACCTTGATGGGCAGGCGGTTAGCCTGGCGGAGAGGGTCAGAGGGGGGCACAGCGTGCACAAAAGGCTTGGTGCTGCCGGCCGGGGACGAGCCTTGGCCGGGGCCGGAGCTATTTCCAGAGAGCGCGCTGGTCCAGGCAGGGTCCGCGCCGCCGCCGCCGCCGCCGCCGCCGCCGCCGCCGCTGTGCTTACTGCTTCTTAGGGCAGAAAGCGAGGGCGCTGTGCTCATGACCCACCCGCACGCATGGGAGCAGCGGGGGGAGGGCTCCGGGAGGCGCGGGGCGGGCTCCGGGCTGCGCGCTCGCCCGGGGAGCAGAAGCAGGAGGAGGAGGAGCTGGTGCGGCGGCCACGGGCACCCGGCGCGCCCTCTTGGCGCCTGGAGCCAGAAGCGGATAATCCTGGGTGGCCCGCGGCGGGGCCGTGGCCGCGCGGGAGGAGCCGGCCGGACTGTGCGCGCGCCGGGGGGCTCGCCGTGTCCGCCTCGGGCTGCGCCCCTGCGCTGCGCGCTGGCGACCCGGCGCTGGCGCTGCGCTGGGCGATGTGAGCCGCTGCCTGTCCAGCCGGGGCTCTGGCGAGGAAACTCACTTCAAAAGCAGCTGCACCGAGGGGGAGATTAAAGCCTTTGCCGCCTTCCAATCAAATGGGAGCCCGAGGTGATTGGAGGGTCAAGGGGATGTGACGCGTCCCGCGCCGCCGCCGCCGCCGCCGCCGCCGCCAGGACTCTCAGCGCTGGTTTTAATGGGCAGCTCCTTCTTCACCGCCCCCCTCCCGCGTGTCCCCTCCCTCGATTTCGCTCCGAGGACGCGCTGGACATTTATTCTGCGTTTGCTCTCCGCCGCCTCCCTCTTTTTTTCTTCTGCGTCGTCCTGCCTTTCCCGGGCTCGAAAATAAACCGAAACCTATTTTTTTTGCAGGAGGGTGCGTATGAGGAACAGGATTGAGGGAGTGACTAGAAGGCGCAGCGGCGGGAGTCCGGACCACGGCCCGACTTTCGGCTCCAGGGGTGCACAGGGGACCCACACACCAAATACTCTGTCTCGCTCAGTAATTGAAATCTCTCGCGGCGCGGCCGCCTGGGTAAGGAAAGGTGCGGAGCGGGTGACGGAGGAAGTCCGCCCGCCCGCTTTGATTTCCCGAGGTTCGGCAGCGGAGAAACCAGAAGCTAGGTGGGCAGCGGAGGCGGCGGCGGTGGCGGCGGCGGCGGCGGCGGCTCCTCTCCGGGCTGCGCGCGGGGCTCCCAGCCCTTCCCAGCCACGTGACGCCCGGGGACGCGCAGATTGGGGCTGGAGCGGGGGTCACATGTTTCCTCTGTTTCACACTCAGTCCTCCCCCCCCTTCTTACTCTCCCCTGCTACCCTCTCTCCTCCTCTCTCCCCCTCTCTCCCCAATTCTTTGGGCATCTCCACCCCTCCATCAATTGTCAATGTTCCTCGACCGCAATCAATCAGTTATTTGTCAGCTCTTGTCAATCCGCCCGTGATTTATGTCAGCTTTTGTTGCTGATTACAAGGCGGGTGCGACTTGAAGGGAAAAAGAAGAGGGGGAGAGAGAGAGAGAGAGAGAGAGAGAGAGAGAGAGAGAGAGAGAGAGAGAGAGATGGAGAGTAAGGAAGAGACCAAGGGGGAACCAGCGGGGGGGGGAGGAGCAGCCTCCCGGGATGGGGGGGGGCGGCTCTAAGGAAAAGAATGGAAGAGGGGGAAAGAGGCTGTGTGTGTCAGGAAAATGAATAGTGAGAGTAAAGTGCGCAGGTGTGCCCAGGGCGCCGGGAGGGTGGCACAGGCCCGAGGTGCGCGCCTCGCCCCTCTCAGGGTGGAAGGACAGACCCCTTCCTACCTCTGGGACTTGGGTCTCTTGGGGCCGCGGAGGGGGAAGCTGCCCCGGGTACTCGAGGCGGGCGGCGGCGACGTCTAAGATGGGAGAGCTTTCTGTCCCCCGGAGAGTCAGTCCCTCGGGAGCGTGAGGATGTCGGGCTGCTAGCCTGCGGCGGACCCCATCCTTCGTCCTGCCCCGACCCCAAACTCGGGTTTCCAAGAGCCCCGCACCACAACGTAGTGTCGAGTCCCGGTGGTCCGTGGTGGGGTCGCTCCCCCCCGCCCCCGCCTTCATTCTCGAGCCTCCCTTCGGACCCTGGCTAGGGCTGAGAGGCCGCGAGGAGGCCCGGCCTCGGGCGCACGGTGGAGAGGCGACTCGGGCGGACCCCGGCCCCCTCCCCAACCCGCTCCCACCCTGCGGTGTCCCCGCGGGCTGGGTGGCCGGGCTTACTCTGGGCTGCTCGCTCGCATTCCTAGGAACGCCGAGCGGGGACTGAGCTGCGGAGGGGAAGCCGAGGGGGCGGCGGGAGGGGGCGGCTGCCTGTAGGAACTTGGGTCTTCCAGGGAAGCGGAGCGGGACTGCCGTGTTCCCCTCGATTTGCACCGTCACTCGGGCGGTTTGGAAGGAAGAGGGGAGGCGCTGTGCGAGCCTCCGTGTACCTGGAGCTGGGTGCACAAGTGTGTGTGTGTACGTCCGTGCCGCTGTGTGCGTTCTCAGGGCTTTCTTGGGGAGCGTCCGGAGCGAGTTCGGAGGTCGCCTCCAGAAACTCGCAGAAACTGGAAAGGGGGCAGGAGGAGGACACTACCCCTTCCTCGGAAGGACTTGGACGACTTTGAATCTCCCCTCCCCCACTTTTCCGCCCCGGCTCTTCTTTTGTTGTCAAGTCCTTTGATAAATGGTAGGGCAGGGAGCGCGGGGAGCCAGGAGCCGGTCTGTACCCGCGCGGGGGGCAGGGGCCCGGGCTGGCCACCCGATTTCCTTCGGCGCTGCGCCCCGGACGGCGGGGGTCGGGGCTGGGACCTGCCCTCCGCAGGCTCGCCCTCTCCTCTCTCACCACCCCATCCACCACCACCACCACCACCCCCACCTTTTTGTCTCTCTCCCATTCCACGCAGGTACCGAGAACTTTCTGGGGTGAGTTTTAGAATTTTCTCGTAGGCATTCTCTTCCTGCGTTTTCGTCTTATCCCTTGATCCTTTGGGTTGGTAAACTTGATGAGACCGTAACTTGACTACAGATGATCTGGATGGAGAAGAGGAAAGTGAGGCGGTGTGTGTTTGGGGCTGCTGTTGGTCGGGGTGTGTGCGTGCGTGTGTGTAGGTGTAAGCACACACCTGCGTTCAAGGGGATTTGAACTGTGCGGCACCTGAGGAAGGTGAGTCCGTGAGACGGCGGTGAGGCCACACGCGAGGTTGTGAAGGTGGTCTGAATAATCTTTGGGGAGTTTCGGAGGGCAGGACAGTCCTCAGCTGTCTCTGCGGGGCAGCGGGTGCGGGAGGCCGCCGGCGTCCTGCGGGCGTGATGGTGTCTGCGTCGCGGAGCGCGCGGCTGTCGAGGTGTCGGCCGGCATCCACCGTAGAGCTCCCAGCTCCGCGAGCCCAGCCGTGGGCCGCGCGTCGCCGCAGCCTCCTCGACACGCCGGGACCCCGAAGGCTGGGGGCGGTGGCCAGAGCTGGCGGTGACAGCGGGCGTCTCCTCCCGCCCCGTCCCCGCCCCGCCGGAGATTCCCCCCCCCCGGCCCCCGCCCCCCGGCCCCAGACTCAGTTCTTTGCCTCTCCTGGAATCCCAGCAGCTTTCTCTTTACATCGGGCGGTTCTCGGGCATCAGCCTCGGCACCGAAAGCCTTGCGGGCACCAGAGAGTGGGCCCCGCGTGCCCCAGGAGGGGCGTGCCTCGGTGCGGCAGCACACGCTCGCAGGCCTGCGCCGGGCCGCGCGCGCGGGGGGACCGTGGTCCGCGTGCATCCGCTCTTCGCAAACCCCGACTCGGAAGGTCCGAGCGCACGGGGGCGCCTGGGGGCCTGCGCGCCCCGGGCTTTCGGGAGGCGCCGGCATCGGAGCCTGCGCACCTCGCCGGGGAGGCCAAATCCCTGAAGGCCTTGGAGGCCTTGGGGATGGGGGAGTTATTAATTACTCCGCACTAGGCCTAAAGCCTGCAGCCCCCGCGGCGGTTGGCGTGGATGTCCTGCGGATTTTATTTGCACACAGTGTAAATGATTTGTTTTCTCTAAAAAAGGAGTGGGCATGGCAGATATTTGAGGAGGGGGTGGGAGGAGAAGGAAGGCGAGAGAGCTGAGGAAAAAAGTTTGAAAATGCCTTGAACTATTCACTGTCGAGATGGCTAATCAGTATTGAGGCCGGAGGGCAGGCGGGCCGCCTTTCACCGCCGCTTCCCTTTCATCTCGGGCTCGGCGGAGGCGCTCAATTAAAAGCCTATCAGTTTGTAAGTAAATCAACGCCTATCAGAGTTGTCACATCAAACAAAACGATTATTATTGCAGCCCGCCTCCCCTATTAATCTCCCTCGAAGATAATCCGCCTGACAGGTCAGGCCCGGCGAGCTGGAAAGCCTGGCCCAGAGCGCCCCAACAGTCCGGGACTGGCGCGCGCCCCTGGGGGCCTCCCCACCCCGGTCCCGCCCCGCCTTGTGGTCCCCCGGGAGGGGGGAGAGCAGGAGCAGGCGGCGGCCGCTGGACCCGGGCCCGCCCCTCCGGACTGGGATCAGGGCCCAGATTCGCACGGCTGGTGGGGGACCGGCTCCGGCGGCCCTCACCTCTTCTCCGGCCTGCGGTGCCACCGGGCCTGCCGGAGCCACGGTCTGGTCCCAGGGCCTCGCCATAGCCTGTACGCTTTTCAGATCGCCTCTCTTGACTTTTTCCTCTTTCCTCTCTTCTCTTTTTTTGTTTCCCACCCACTTCTTTCTAGATTCCCTAATCATTTTATTCTTTTTTTTTCTTCTCTTCCTTTCCCCCCTTTCCTACTTGACAGGGAATATTTCCTATTCTCTCTCCCTCCTCTCGGTACACAGTATAGACTACTTTGGCGCAGTCACACTTTCTGAAGCAGGGCATTCTTAGGGTCCGGGTTATTTCTCTGCGGCAGGGCTGCCTCGGGAGTGTGTGCAATTCCCAGGAACTCCTGACAAAGTCCTGCCTAATTTCTCCCCAAACAGGGGCTCTCAGAAGCTCTGCGCCTGTGCCAGGGTTGGGTGCGCTTGGAGGGATGAGAAAAAAAGGACCAGGGCAGTGTGATGGTTGGACTGTTGCAAGAGCCCTATTCTGGAATAAGTATCTGGCCTTGGAGTTTCACAGCTACAACGTCGCGGACCTCGCTCTCGGTGTTGCTTGAGCTTTGCAAGTGTGTGGAGGAGACCCTCCGGGCATCTGGGCTTCAGCACTGAGTCTGTGAGGGGGTGCCTAACACGTAATAAGTAAATGCAGTCAGATAATCACTTCTATGGCTTCAAACTGGAGCTCCCCAGCTGGGTGGGGCCCAGACTCCGCATGGAAGCGAAATCCTGGCCTTCTCCGGTGTCCTCCAGCTTTGCGCTTTGAGACACCTTGGGATCAAGCACGACCTATCTTTTTTTCTGAGCTCTTGCTCCAAATCCATAGGCCCAAATGGCCACTGCCTAGCCCGCTGGAGCCAGGATTGTGGGGTCACTCAAGTGGCTAAGGGGGAAAGGTCCGCCGGCATGACCCCAGGTCCTATGACCCCAAATGCCAGGTTCAGCGCCTGTTGAAGTCTCCCTCTCAGAGCATGAATCCTGGAGAACCCCGGAGGCAAGGCAGTGTTGGCCGTCCCGGCAGTGCCTCGCCCAGCAGTCACCGCGTTGTCCGAGGTCGAGGATATGGAATAGAGCCCACCTCAGCGTGCTCGGTGTCCAGAGCTGCAGCACCCGTGGCTCCCACCCCGGGTTCCCGAAAGCCCCCCTATTTGTGCACAACTTCCGCAGGCCACCTGGTAGTAATATTTATTTCCATGCCTGGAAATATTGTAGCGATGCAGTTCAATTATCTGTGTGCTTGCTCTCCTTAAATGTATTTATTTCACCTCTGCTCCTCCGCAGATATTTAAAGAAGCACACATAATGCATGCACCCTTCAACCTAGCAGAACTCACTCTGGTTATAGGAAATATTCGCTGGGTGGTTATTGGGACATGAAGGCTATCTCCAGCCGGAATTGCATTCAAGCAGGAACTGTTTTAAAAAACAACAAACTTGCTCTAGAATTTTTCTAACTAAACTGTATGTGTACACACCCAAGAATTTAATAATATTTTATATCCCTCTATAGATCTAAACATTCAAATGGTTATATTACATGCCCTTGAAACCGGAAGCGATCTTCCGTTCACACTAGACGTGGAGCTGTTTGTATAATGCTCATCTCCCTGCACTTACACATAAATCTTGCTCTAATAAATTCAACCTTGTCGTTTTTAGAATCGACGGGATTTCTCTGCGGTTTGCGCCTCCAGGATCCGAATAAATGCAGCTCGCAGGCATCCGGCAGGAAACGGCTCCCGGTTCGAGTGTATGCGGACGCATCAGCCCAGCGCGGGACGCGAGGTGGCTCCTGGTGATCTTGCGGCTGCAGGTCCGGCCTCCAAAGGAGACTGGGCTGTGAGCGCCCTCAGGCCGGGGGCGGCACCTTGCTGCCCCGCAGTGCCGGCAGCCCCCATCCCTGGGGTGGGGGTGTGCTTCGGGAACCCGCCGGGCGGAGTCCGCCCTCGGCGAAAACTGAAAGCAAATGCCGAGGCAAAAGAAGCCCGAACTTTCTTCGACGCAACTTTGCCACAACGATCCGGTGGCGACTTAGGCAGGACCGCGCGCTGGTGGGTGCGCGCGCGCAAGGTGGGGCGCCGGCTGAAGGAGGCTTGGGGCGGCCGAGCCTGGCCCGAGGCGAAACCCTAGGGAAGGCGCCTCCCCTTCCTTATTTCTCGCCAACCCCTCGGCCTCTGTCGGTAAAAAAAATAGTTTCCAGTGGATAGCGGACGCCCAGGATGTGTTGGTGGGGATCGCACCAGGGAGAAGGAAGCTTTGTAAAAGTTGCAGAAAGACCTCTGCCCAGAAGCGTCCGCCCAGCAGGGCTCGCAGGGAAGGTCGGGGGACCAGCTCGCCTTCCCCGGGGCGGGATGCCTAGCAATCGGCTTGGGGAACCCCCGGCCCAGTCCTCTCCGCTCACCTCGAACCCCCGCGTAAATAAGCCCCGGCGGGCTGCGCTGGAAACTTAGAGGCGCGGCGCCGCGGTTGGCGGGCGAGGCCCGGACGCTGAGCCGGCCCGCAAGGCCGCTTCTGGGCGCGCTCGGCCCCGGCCCTAAGACAGGCTTGCACGGGGGTGAGAGGACGAAGGTGGTTTCAGCTCCCGCTCGGCTGCCTAGACCGTCACCGCCGACCTCCCAGCTCCCTGGAGCGGGCGCTTCCCCCCTGGGAGCCGCGGCCTTGGGGGGGCCGGCGAGGGCGCAAAGTGCGCGCGCGGGCCGGCGCGGGGGTGGGGGGCGGCTGCCGGTCTCTCCGCCGGGCCTGTCGCCGGGCTGGCCGCGGCGGGTGAGTGATGAGGGCAGAGAAGGGCGCCCATAAATCGCGGGTGTCAGGGCGAAAAACTCTCTTTATTGTCTGCGTGATGGATGGGCCCGGGGACGAGACACCAAATACTTCGTATCGCCTTTAAATGGGAACACATTTTCCGCGGCCATAATTCATGTTTTTTAAATAGAAAGTTTGAAATGTTGCCTATATTTCACCGGCCCTGACATATTTATGAATCGCTCCCTGCATGCAAATATCATTATTTAAAGCGCCGGGGAGATCTGGGGGGGAGGGGAGGAGGCACGGCCCCCGTGGCTTGGAGGTGGTGAACCGGGGAAATGCGAGTGGAGAGGGGGGTGCATCTCCCTAAAGTGCGGACAATGAGGCGCAGGGGAAAGCCTTATCCGGAAGCCGAGCGCACCGGGGGCTCCCCTCCCGCGGCTGGATCCAGCGCTGCGGCACGGGAAGTTTGAGCGGCTCCGGACCGAGGACCCGCCCCTGCCCCCTGCGGGAAGACCCCGGAGGGGGGGGGCTTTTGCGTCCCTCTCCGAGGCCCTGATCCGAGCCAAAGCCACCTTTTCCAAGGAGAAATTTTTTTTAAATAAAAGAATTTAACAAACGCAAATAATAACAATCCAACACGTTTCGTGTTCTTTGCATTTGCATTGATTTTATTGATTTTCATTCTGCAAACCTCGGATTGCGCGCCCGGGAGGAGCGACCGTCAGACCCCAGGCGCCGCGGGGAGCGGGTGGGGGGATGACCCTCCCGAGCTGCGGCCCCGGCCCAACCAGCTCACAACCTCGCAGGCACCACGGAGCCTGCGCAAGACGCGGGGACACCAATGATCCGGCGCCCCGGCTCTGGGGGTTCAGTCCCGCCCCCTCGACTTCCCCAGCGCTCCCGGGGGCCGCGTCCCGCCCACCCCCAGCCCCACCGTCGACATAGTCGCTTTGGAAAAAAGCTGGGCACGTGCCGTCAGCCTCCCCCTTGCCCGTCCAGCCGGGGAGGCGCCCACACCTGCGTCCTCAGGAGCAGAGTCTTTACCTGTGCGGTTCCCCGCGGCGCCCGCGGCCGCGCTGGTAACAGAGGAATGGAAAGGAGGACGGGGGAGTGGGAGGGACAGAGCGCCGCCCGAGACGGCCACGCACGCCGACCCAGGTCCTCCTCTTCCGACCAGGCGTTGGGGCCCCGGCCGAACTCCCTCTAATAGCTGAATCGCGTGGGGCAGAGCCGACCCGGGGACCGGCCCGGGGACCCCGCACCGCGAGGGAGGGGCGGGCCCGGCAGCACTTCCGCTGGGGGCGGGGCCTCAGGCTGCCGCGCGAGCCCCGCCCCTCCGGGGCACAAGCCCCGCCCCTCCGCGGCGCCGGCCCCGCCCCGGCCTCTTAGGCTCCGCCTCCGCTGACTGGGCTGCAGCATCTCCGGGACGCGGGGGGGGGGGCACCCCCTCCCCCCGGCGCTCCTCTCCCCCACCTGGGCGTGCTGTCCTAGGGTTCTTAAATCTCAGGACCAAATGCGCATGCACACTAACAACCTGGGCCCGAACTCGCATGTAAGACTTTGTCTAAGTTTGGTCTCTTGGTACCCCCGAGACCAGCCTGGCCCAGGGGCTCTCGAACATCTCCTGAAATCAGGCCAGTCGTCCCCCTCCCCCTCGGATAGTAGGGAATACATATCCGTGATCATGGGGTCCCACCTGTCTTCCAGGAAAAGTTAACACTTTTTGACTTCACTTTATGCCAGATACTATAAGAACTGTGCGTGAATTATGTCCTCACAGCATAAGGTAAGTGCCATGAAGGTCCTGTTTTACAGATAATGAGATTGAGGTACTGAATGTGCTGAATGGGTGAATAATGACTTTTGGGGTTCATTTTGCACTTTGGGGGGCCACCAGTAAGTATTCTTTAGGATCTCCTATCCTGAGATGTTTTCAATTTAATAAGGGGGATAAAAAAAAAACTCACGAAAATATTATTGTGAACCTATATGTTGTTAATATCAAATAAGGGAATCCTCAAGGAGGTTGGAGAAGAGAAGTATCTATGGTTTTCCAGACATTTATTCAGATTTTCAAAGTGTAAGATTTGTTAGTTGACACAGGTGATGGACCCCCCCATGACCACCCCTCCCACCATTCCGCCTTGTATGTCTCAAGCCTGTAGCTTTTATCTTTCTCACTTCATATATTAGTGCTATCATAGTTGAGTACCTTATTAGGTCTTGACTGAGATGCTGCCATAAGAACCTTCTAACTGTTCATTTTCTAGCCTCTCTTGCCTCTAATGCATTAGGCATCCTCATGCGAATTTTCTTGATCACATCATTCCCTTGTCCCCAAATCTTCAGTGGCTCCCCCTCGTCCACATGAAACATTCAACTCTTCCTAATCTAGTTCTAAACTACTTCTAAAAAGTTTTAAGTTGCATTTCAAAATTATGAAATAAACATGTTGACTTCAACCAGCAAAGCCCTCAAACATACAAAAAGACAAACTTTATGATCTCACCCATCTCCTCCTTATTTCCCACTCAGTCTTCTGAGATATCCAGTGTTAACAGCTGGGATGTAACTTCTGTCCCTTTCTCCACGCTCACCAGGCTCATATGAACTGTGCTCACATATATGGGACTATTATGTTATTGCTTGTGTATATAATGAAAATATTAGAGCTATCTGTTCCTCATTCTTTCTTGAAAACAAATGGGTTTATAGGTATAGAGGTAATTTATTTATTTTTAGTCACATAGTATTCCTTAGAATGAAGATACCCCCATATTCAACCATCCCCCCATGATAGTCATAATGGTTGCTATCAGGGTTTTTTTCTCACTAACAAAATTTCCTGAGTCTATATCCTTGCAGTCAGTGATTTTATTTCCATGGGGTAGATTACAAAAGTGCAGCTGCCTATACCCCAGTCAAATCTAATTTCTTTGTTCTTACCACATGCCCTGTGTTTTCCCATTTTGTGTCAGTTCTCCCTAGAAATTCCTTGTCCTCCATGCTCTTGTATCCTATTTCTAATCCTGCAATGCCCAAGTCTGATACCTGAATTTAGATATATGGTTCAATATCCACCTTCCTCCTTTTTCCTAAGCTTACCATTATAGCAATGTGCCAGGCCCAGTGTCTACACCAATCACGACAATCCTATTTTTGTCTTTCCCAATCCTTACAGCTAGGGATGGTCAAGTGACCCAGTTTTGCATTTGAGACACAAATACAAGTATGGAGGTGGCAAAGCTAGAGGGGAAACTTTGGGAAACACTCTTGTTTTCCTGATCAAAGGAGATGATGCAGATGTTTTGACACTTCCCCTTCCTCTCTACCTCTTTTATTCCTTCTATGAACTTGGATATACTATCTACAGCTGTAGCAGCGAAAAGTCCAAGAGAATGGCAGAGACACTTAATTCTGGCATCACTGGGACACTGGGCCATCTCTAGTAATCACCCACCCCCAGAATTTTTGTGGTAGTAGAAATAGCAAATTCCTCTTTGTTCAAGTCAGTGACATTGGAGATTTCTATATTTGCAGTCAAGCATATCCTTTACCTGTCCCCTTTGGCAAATCTTATTTCTACTGGAGTTACCATCACTGGGATACTAACACAGGAGTCCAAAAAAAAATATAGAACCCTATCACAGACTCGCCTTCAAACATTCTTTTTTTTTTTTTAAGATTTTATTTATTTATTAATGAGAGACACACAGAGAGAGGCAGAGACATAGGCAGAGGGAGAAGCAGGCTCTCAATCCCGGTGCTCCGGGATCACACCCTGAGCTTGAAGGCAGATGCTCAATCACTGAACCACCCAGGCATCTCTTGCCTTCAAACATTCTTGAAGGATAGTATTTTAGAATAGCCAAGTAGCCAAGAATCTCTTGGAGTAAATAAAGTCTGGTCATTCCCTTAACCCTCAGTATCACCATAAGCTATTGTCTAGAGGGCATGTGGTACTTTTGTTTGTTTGTTTTGCTTTGTTTTGACCTTTTTTGCCTGCTTATCATCTGAAGCTCCTTCCTGTTTGTTGTAATGCAGGGCCTGCTTCCAACCACAGAAGTTGAAGGGGACACATCCTCCCTCTTCTACCATCTAGCTCAGGGCTCAGCTTCCCCTCCCTTACCTCCATTTGAGTAGATCATAGTGCTTCAGCATGTGGTGGGCTCTGGGGTCCAGCTGCTTGGTTCCAAAGAACAGTACTGCCACAATTCCTAGATGTGTGACTTGGGGGCAAGGTTCTTAATCCCTCTGAAGTCTCAGTTTCCTCTTGTGCAAAATGAATGTAATAATGGTACCTACCTCTCAGGCCAATGGGTATATTAAATGAGGCAATGCATATGCCCAGCACATAGAAAGTGCTCAAAGTGATGATGATGATGATGATCCCCCTGCGTTCTTTCTTACTGCTGACCCCCTGGGGTGCAGTCAGTACCACTCATCTGACACTTAGCTAACTAACTACTAATTGATGATATCTTTTATTAGCTATTTAAATTCATATTGTTTACTTTGTGTGTGTGTGTGTGTGTTCCAGTTCCCAGTTAGATTTTAAGATCCTCCAGGCCCAACCAGATGCCTTCTTTGTATTCCTAACTCACACTAGCAGAGGGCTAAGTTAAATTAGGCATAAATGAACCCTTATTAAAATGAATAATAAAACATCCAATGACTGTGTAGTCCTTTCCATGGTTTCTTTTAATCCTCACAACAGTCCTAGAAGACATGTACTGTTATTCCCGTTTTACAGATGAGGAAACTGAGGTTCGTAGAGAGGAAGTCATTTGCCCCCATTCCAAAGTCATTGCTCTTTCCTGCCTCACAGTGGCCTCCTTCAGCTTTCAGAAGTTCTGGAAATGCCTCCCTCTCAAGCTCTAAGGTCCAAACTCACCTTCTCTGGAAGCTCAGTTCAGCATCCCTGTGAGCTCTAACATCCTTTCCATGTATCCAAGGGGAGAGATGTTAGAGATCTATCGTTAAATGAATAAAGCTGGTTATGAAAGAATAGGGACATGCACACACACCCACAGTTAATGCGTGTCACCTAGAGTGCAGGCTGCCAGGGTGTCTATGTAACCAACCACTGGTCACTTAGGGAATGGGCTCGTGGGTGATTTTAACTTTCTTCTTGCTCACCTGTAGTTTCTACTGCAAACATTTGTTGCCTTTATAAATAGGGAAAAGACAATACTTCTGTTTGTTTGCTTGTTGAATGGAGACAATGATGCAGTGCCTCCAGAAGTCTCCTTGCTTCCATGCTCTTCCCAGTTTCCTTTTACTGAAAAATGCTCCCAATCAAAGCAACTTCTTTTTTTCTCCTTCCTCCTCTGAGTCAGGTGGGCAGAGGCCCATCCCTGGCACTTATTAGTCACAGGTTTGAAATGCAGGGGAGGGTATGGGAGGGAGAAATGATTGGTGTGGGGTGGGAATTTGGGGATTCTTTTATCCCCTGCATCTCAAAGGCTGACAGGCTCTTGAGGGGTGGAAATGACTGGTAATTAGTGAACCTTCTCTGCTGCACACACTAAAGACACACTTCACAGTCTCTGTGACCTCTGCAGCCCGGTGAGGCTTTGTTATGTAGATGCTCTTAATTGGGTGAGTCACTTACTGCAAACAGCTTCAGG